GCGGCAGGTGAGGAGAGAATTGAGCTGTGGAGAGTGGTTAGCAAGACAGTTGAAGCACGCGTCAGAACCGAAAGTGTGCAAGTGCGTTGTATTCGAGTTTAGCAAAATTTGTTGTTGATAAATTTAAACAACGCATAAGTAGGGCCAAGAGCCCACATGTTTGATCAAGTGTATCTGATCACTTTTTGCTTTGCTCAATGCTACACGTCAAACTTCCGCGGTTTTCAGATTCCTAGTGAGTATTTGAGTGTTGACGCTTAGTTATATGTCTGCACGGTGAACCATTGAAAGATAATTTTGCGATTCTGAGAAATGCAGATTTTAATGTGAATTCAGATATCAGAAATATTTTGCATTGAACCGGTTTTAGCGAGTTTGTTTTTCTTACTTCATTTGAACTGATATAGGCTGTCATAGCCTTCATTAGCACAAAGCGGGATTTAAATATCCGTGATTAATTCGTTTCTGTCGAAATGTCACAGGAAGCCGTAATGATCGCGTAATACTTTTTTGTTACGTAATGCTTGCTTTTTAAGTGTTGATAACAGCGATTTTATGCGCAACGGAGATTTTGCCCCTACAAGGCTACAGGCACAGAGTGATGCTGTCAGCCTCTTGTGTCAGGTTAAACGCCAAGCAAATCCAGAAAATACTGTCGGTCTCATTTCTTTAGCCAACACAGAAGTTCTATGTACTCTCACTAGTGATATGAGCAAAATATACAATCGCCTTCACCTTATTCAGCCCAAGGGTGGAATTAGCTTTTGTACGTCAGTTCGCATTGCTCATCTTGCTCTTCGGCATCGTCAACTCCGCCACCAGAAAATGCGCATTGTGTGCTTTATTGGAAGTCCTATTGGAGACGATGAAAAAGAAGTTAGTCATAATTTTTAATCCAGTAGCTTTAGATGATTAAACTGGCAAAGCGTTTGAAAAAGGAGAAAGTAAATATCGACATTGTAAACTTTGGGGAAGACGAAGTTAACCAAAAAAAACTACTGGAATTCATCGACGCGGTTAATGGAAAGGACGGCACAGGCTCGCATCTAGTTACTGTGCCTCCTGGGACCGTGCTTCATGAGTCGCTCGTTACAAGTCCAATCATCGCTGGAGAGGACGGCGGCAGTGCGTTGGCAGGGTCTGGTTTGGGCTTGGAATTTGGCTTAGATGCAGCAGAAGATCCAGATCTACTTTACGCTTTGAGAGTTTCAATGGAAGATCAACGTATGCGCCAAGAGCAGGAGGCAAACGTTACGGGTGGAGCCGCGCCTGTTGCTTCTGCTACGCTTCCAGGCGTGTCTGGCACTTCGGAGGAGGCTTTGCTTCGACAAGCTCTGGCAATGTCTATGCAAGTTGATCCAGCAAATACAGATCCTTCCCCGATTGACTTGGCTAACATGTCAGAGGAGGATCAGATTGCGTATGCGATACAAATGTCGATGCAAGCACAGGAAGCTGAAAAGAAACCTGAAGAGGATAAGCCAGCCCCAGTAAGACTGCACTACTTTTATCCTTCCATTTAATTTTTCATCACTTGAAAATACTTGAGTACTAGACGGATCTAGTTACAGCGTTACTTGACATTTTCTTAGGG